CTGCATCGATCGCTCGATAGTAGTGGTGGCTACTATCGCCATGCTACATGGGATGAGCATGGGAAAAAGCAAAGTAATTGTCTTATGGTTTGGATGATTAATAGTTAGTTCATGCATTTATTGTGAAAATTGGGGGCGTGATAGCATGTGTGGGGGCGACAGATAGAAGAAAGGGAAAATAATTCAAGAATGAGAGGGGAGAGAGTGTGTGCATGTGAGACAAAAAAGAGAGGAATTCAAATAGGGAGAATAAGAGAGATGAGATAGATAGAGTTGGACGAAAGAGAAAGGAATTTAAGGAAGAGAGAAGAGTGAAGAGAGAAGAGAGAAGAGAGAGAGAGAGAGAAATGGAAGAATAAGAGAGGAAAGAAAGATAAAGGGGCTGATGAGAAAGGAGAGAAATATCTTTTAAATAGGAAACTAAATCTCCTAAGATAATGGTATAGTTTGAACTTATTCGGTCTTTTTTGCAAATCCAGTTTTTCATTAAGGCTAATATTGTCTGTGTGGCTACAATTGTTTTTTGGGGCCTAAAAATTTTGCACATGGACCTAAGATCCCAAAAGTTGTTTGCGATGGACATGTGGTCCTTTTTCCCTTAACTCAATTATTACAGGATTAAGGATAAAGTTTATATGCGATATTAACTAAGATCAAAATTGGAAATCAAAAGTTCTAAAAAAGATTCGATGTCTTTAAAATTTGCAATGTCTGAGAGTAATGTTGCATGTATATGATTAACTAAGGTCAAAAAAAAAATTATCTTAAGAGGTTTTTATTAGTTGTATGGATGTTTACCCTCGTATTCCACATTACCTTTATTTCATCAAACCTCAAAAACTATCAGTGCAATTTATCGTAAATAAAAATAGCAGTCCATATGCATGTGTTATTTTCTCTTATAAGAAACCTAGAACAGTGATGATTGCAATAAGCTTTTGAGAGAAAGAAATGATGACTAGATCGAGATTTTTGAGAAAAAAGTTTAAAATAAGAAAGGGATTGGAAAAGGATGAAAGTGAAGATGTTGTCAATTTGGGTTGTTAAGGCTAGGTTTGGGTTGGGGGATGAGAGAGGGGAATTGTGTTTGCAGAGTTGAGTGGTGGTGTAAAGAGATTAGAAAAAGGGTGTGGAACTAAGCTTTCTCCCTTCCCGCTGTAAAATGAGCAAAGATGGTATAGCATTGTTTAGTTACTATTTTCACTGTGGAGAGAGAGAGGCTCTCAATTTATCGATTCGACTTTAATTGATCATGCAAACAAACCCAAATAATATACACACACTTAGTTTTTGTACTATATTATTACCATTCAATCAAATTAAAGTTGGAACACGAGATTTTTAGGTTTTTTTGATGATATAAAGGGAGAATTTTAAATTTTTCTAGGTGCATAATATTGTTGGCCATAGAATTTTATTTACTTTCAAGTGTACTTAAATGTTTATTAAATAATGTGAATTTTAACAATCAAACACACTTATTTGAAAAGAAGAAATAATGTCGTTGAGTTCGTCATTCAACAAATGGTGTTTCTCGTTGTATTGCACAACTAGGGCCAGCTTAATAGCAAGGCCGGTAAAAGCTTGGGCTTTAAGGCCCACATTTTAGGAAAGCGCCAAAATTTTAACATATGTCACTAGTCCATATGAAATTTTAATTGATAATTCGGAAGTTGATACACTTTATTAGACATATTAGAGTAAAAATGCATTTAAAAATGGATAAAAGTCCACTTTGAATGAAGATGGTTGCAATACCCTCAAACAATACTTACTGAAGAATCAAAAACCGATTATGAAAACCCAAAAGATGTCTCCTCAAATCACGCCAACCATTCTGCACTACCCTCAAACACTGAATCCACTTCAATCTTCAAACGGAAAATCATTGAATTCACTTATTTCAAATTTCTGAATTAAAATAAGATTTTCGGTTCCACTGTTTTTGGAATCATGATTTTTAAGATTTGATGTTGTTATATTTTGTGATCTTTAAATAACAAATTTGAGTAATTTATCACATTTTTTTAATATGTTCTCAATTTATTTTTGATTAACTTTTTACATTGTTTTTAATGTTGTTACATTATTTTTGAGTAACTTGTTACATTATTTAATATATTGTCACATTATTTTTGAGTACCTTGTCACTTTTTTTAACATATGTTGTCACATTATTTTTGAGTAATTTATCACATTATTTAATATGTTTTTATATTATTTTTGAGTAACTTGTCATATTGAATTTTATGTTATTAAATTGTTTTCAAAAAGAATTCGATTTATAAAAAAAAAAAGACAAAAAAGAGAAGATGAAACCAATGTGTCCAGTTGAGCAATTTTCATCGAGCTAGAAGAGAAGACGAAACTTTGAAATGGTGAAGAAGAAACCAAAATCTTATTACACAAAAAAAAAAAATTACTATATGCTATGCAAAACGAGAAACTTCATTGAAGAAAACTGAAAATGTTGAAAAAGAAAATTTTTTAATTCAAAATGATAATGCCAAATGAATTGATATCAGTTTTTGAAAATTCAAATGGTTGTATATATTAAAATAAAACTGTAAATTTTTTTTTTTCATGAATTAATGTAGAAATAATTAGGTAATATTAAAAAAAAGAAAACTGAAAAGTATACTTACTTACAAATTTTTATACTTATTTTTAAGTTAAATGCTTACATGTTAGAATTGAGAACTAATATTCAAATAAGAGCTAAAAAATGTACCCACACCCAATTTCTCTGATTTTAAATTCATAAAATATTTAGGCCAAAAAAAAAGCCTTATACAAATATAAGTCCAATTAAAAATTTTAAACTCAATTCATCATAACCATAATCAAACTCAATACATTCAAAGGCCCAAAATCAACAGTTAAAAAAAAAAAACGTTGAAAAATTGTCAACTTATTTTTTCTCACATCCATATTGTTCTTATTTCGAAGGTGCCAGATCTTACAAGAAGTGAAACTAATTATTTAGTAACGTATGAAATTGAGAATTTTGAATTTTTATTAGGCAATGATTATTTAATATAATATTTTATTTTCTCTCAACTTAATAAAAATTTGCAATCAAAAGACATACATATTGATGTTGCTATAGATTAATTAAAGAGATTGTATGTGAAATGAGTATATAACTTATATTTCGTGAAAAATGTATAGTTCGTAGAAAAAAAAATAATTTGACGAAAATATTGATAATGCGGTAACACAATCTGTTGAAGAATTTTTTGAAATTGATTATTTCATATATATATACAAGGTAAAGCTATTTTTTCACTAAAGAGTAGATTTGAACAATTTCAAATGTATGAAAATATTTTTGATTCTTTTATTTAACCAAAAAATTAAAATTATTAAATGATGATAGTTTAAAATAATATTGTCTTGATTTCGAATGTTACTTGAAACATGATAATTTTTTTGATGTTAATGATTTAGATTTATTTTCAGAACTAAATGTGTTGAAAGAAATTTTACAAACGAAAAAATCAGATTCTTTTTTAAATGTATGCATTACTTACATAAATATCATTAATAATTCCTATAACAGTTGTTTTTGTGAAAAAATATTTTTTAAAATTAAAATTGATAAAATTTAATTTAAGATCAATTATGTGACAAGAAAAATTAATTAAATCAGAGATACTATCAATTAAAAAAGATATGGTAGTAAAAATTGAATATAAAAATTAAATTAGTACTTTTGTAACTCAAAAAATAAGAAAAATCAATTTTAATTAAAGTTTTTAAATACTAAAAATAAAACATATCATTTAAAAATACTGCTTTAGGTCCAAACTACCATAACCCCCTACTGTGCACAACATGCTGTTAATGGTGATGATGTCCTAATATGGAGGCGAGGGGAGGGGAGGGGAGAAGCACCTGCTTTCTTTGCTTTCTTCTCATCTTTCCTTTAAATTAAGGCACACAATCTTTGAGTTCATAAAATTTCGTATTATCGTTTCTTATAATAAATTTGGAAGAAGAAAGACGTCAAGACGGTAATTGGTTCCCCAACAAAAGCAACGGTAAAGTGCCAGACACGTTCCCCGAGTAGTCAGCTGCCCGTCCGACACGTTCTCAAAAATTCTCCCCATAAATCCCACTACCCACAGAACTTGAACAAAGAAAAAGCATTACCATCTTCTCTCTCTCTATCTCGCCCCGTGTTCGTTTGCCATTGCTTCACATTCTTTCTTCTCTCTGTGAAGCACGTGATTTCTTGCCCAGGTACTTATTTACTTTTTTGAATGCTTCACTAGATTTATATGTCAGTGTGTAAACTGAATACTTCTGCCCAATAGTCTTTTTTTAATTAGGGTTTTAATTTGTATGTAAATCTAAGCAATGTACTAGCTTTATCCACTTTGCAAATTTTTTTGAGTCACTGATTGGTTGATTCGAAACTCGGAAGAAAATGAAATCTTGAATACCCACTAAACCAAATAGTCAGACCAGGCTAAGTTAAGTGTTTTGGGGGTCGTTTTGGCGGTTTAAAGTATCCAAATTGCCAGTTTTTGTGCTTCTTTTCCTGCTTGGTCATCGAATCAACCAGGCTTATATTCCAAGGATCGAATTTGACCGGTGCAGTTATCTACTACAGTGCAGTAGTTTGATAGGTCAGTGTGTTAAGTGAATAATTGTGGCTAATAATATATTTGAATAGGGTTTTAATTTAATTTATCTATAACTCTTACAATGCACTGCATTTTTGTACCTAGCTTTTGTGTGTTTCCTGGTAGCTGCCTTGTGAGAACCTCTTGCATTGTTTCTTGAGCCACTGATTGGGTTGCTTCGAAAAGGAGGAATAAAATGTAATCTTGAATACCCACCAAGACAAACGGTGGGAGAATTAAGTGCTTGTGGGCCGTTTTGGCGGTTTACAGTAGAAAAATTGCCAGTTTTTTGCGTTTCATTTCCTGCATTTTCTTTGAATCAACCAGGGTTATACTCTGAATCTGATTAGTGTCGTTGTATACTACAGCGAAGATGGGTAAGGGTTTGGTTCCATTTTTTGGGATTATATTGTTATGGTGGTCACAGATTGCAATGGCAGAAGGGGCTGAGTACATGGAGTACAAAGACCCAAAGCAGCCGGTGGCTGTTCGGGTAAAAGATCTTCTGGCTCGAATGACTTTGGAAGAGAAGATTGGACAGATGGTTCAGATTGATAGGACTGTTGCCACCGCTGATATGATGAGGAAATTTTACATTGGTAATATATAGTCGTTATGTATGTGTGTTTTTATCCATTTAAATTTAAATTTTTTTTTCTTTCTCTTATATTGATACAAGGAAATGACAAAAAATGCAAATTTTTTGGCAAATTATTATACTCTAAATGCATAATAAAGGTGGAAAACTTTTTGGCATGTTTTGAAATCACATTTGACATGCAATGAGGAGGCAAAACTACAGATTTCCCTGATGAGATTCTTGATTTAATGTTGTTGGTGATCTTTGTATACTTGGTTGTAACCTGTAAGTTATCGTTCCCATAGATTGGACAATATGAATTTGAAGCTGGTCCCAAAGTCTATTGTTTTGTTGGCTTGGTACTTGGTATAGTGATAAACTACTGATGTTGTGAACTAATCTTAAGTTAGAGAAGGACAACTAATGCCCAACAAGCCACTACGTTCATCAAAATTATTTTTCATTGCTTAACAATGAACGACGTTAGTTAATTGTCTTAATTGAACATTGAATTTAGGTTCATGCTCACTGGTATATGTTTAATCTATCTCAGAAATCACATGTATGGCTATATTTTAAAATTGAACTCGAATTTATGCAGTCACACAATATGGGCGCTTTAGAACCTAAAATAATATCTAAATTTCCTTTTTTTTGTTTCCCACAAATTTTAAATAAGAAAAACCTATCTCTTGCAATAGTTGGGCATAAGCAAGTAAGCATGAACTCAAGAAGAAAATAAAGAACTAATGACGGAAACACTTGTGTACAATTTAGAGGTAAAAGGAAAATTGGGAGATTTTAGATATTGTCCTGGTAGCAAATGAAGTTGTGAGCGGTATAAGGTTACAAGATAACGAATGAATGTTTAAGATTGAATATGAAAATGCTTGTAATTACATGGATTTGGGGGTTTTTGGATTTTGATTTTGATGCTAAAAGTTTGAGTTGTAAATGGAGAAGATTAATCAAATGGTTCCTAAGTTATATGAATTTTTTTGTTTTTTAAATTAGGAAGACAGGAGAGACATATAATGTGTTTAGAGGACTTAGTTAGGGGATCTGTGTCACATTTTCTTTTTATTTTGACAGTTGATGGTTTACAAAAGTTTGGGGGGAGGGCTAGAGAGTTTAACTTAGGTGATGGCTTTTCGACCATGATGGAGGAAGTTTGATGTTTCTTATTTACTATTTGCAGATGACACTTTCTCCTTTCTACAAGGTGATGAACGAGAAGTTTTAGAATCTAGTGGATATTATTAAGACTAGCAATGTACGATGTGCGTTCCACGCGATTATATTTAAATAATAACTTTATTATAAGAATTTTAAATTATGTGTGTAATAAAATTTAATATTAAATTATATGTGAAATAAATAATTTTTATTTTAATTATTAATAAATCTAATTATAGATCTATTTTACCTCATTTTGAGTATCTAATCTGTCATTTATTTAAGTATCTCCTTGACCTATTAGACATTTGTTTTTTTTTATAATTAAGTTTCATTATAAGATTTTTATTATCAATATTGGACTTTATTTCTTCATATAAATATAGACATAGATATAGAAAACTGTGTGTAAATATACTACTAATAAATGAGTCCAAAAAAATTTAGACATTAAATATAATTAATAAAAAAGTTCAAAAGAACTTCAAAGTCAACGAGGCATAGGAAATAAGATTTGGATAAAAGTAAGAAAGAATTTAGAATTCAAATACTGTTTATAGAAGAGTCCAAAAACACTTAGAAGTCAAATAATTATAGAAAATCAAATTTGGATGAAAATAATAGATGGGTATTATTGACTTTATATTAATAATTAGAGATAAAATAGGAAATCAAAAGTTTTTCACATATGCTGACATTTATAAGTAGTATAGATATTCAGTTTCCTATCGTGTTTGAAGATAAATATGTCTAACTTGAGGTAGAAACAAATTCCCAAAGGAATAACTAATGAGAGAGAAAAGATTGCAACTAGGTTTGGCTATAGGGTGGGAGAATGATCGTTGAAGTATCTTGGGCTACCATTGTGGGGAAATGCTATATGTTTGAATTTTTGGAGCCTAGTTTTATAACAAGTGCAAGAAAGATTGTGCAGAAAGAAAAGAACTTGTATATCTAATAGTAAGAGTGGTTTGTTTTTTCCTAGTACACCCATTTACTCCTTCTCTCTTTCCAAGTTTCCGGGTAAGGTTGTTAAAATGGCGGAGAATATGACGGTGAGAGTTATTTTATGAGAAGAAAAGGGTGAAGGGAAGAGAGATTACTTAATTAAATGGAAGATTGGTCTGTATCTCAAGTGAAGGAGGGATGGACTATAGTTCTGTTAAGAGAATATGGTTTTGGTGGGAAAGTGGTGCAAACGTTTCTAGATTCCTTGTAATATTTTATTATCAAAAACAAAAATGGACTTCTTAGTTCTTTCCCATGGAGGAGATTCAAATGTGGTAGTTAGAGGGTTTTGTTTCACTAAAACGTTAGGTTCTTTGAAGCACAGACACAGACACAAGACACGAATATGACACAACACGACACGACACGACATGGACACGTAGACGTGTAATTTATTGTAAAAGTAGGATACAAACACGTTAAAAGTAATTATCTTTTATATAACCAATTATATGATTCATCATACACATAGAAATAATTGTAGTATTGTTCATAAGCAATTTAGTCCTTTAAAATCTCAATTCCAATAAGTTTTTGTGAATTTTTGGGCTAAAAGACCATAGTAGTCACCAATAATTGATTTTTTCTATATATAATGTGTAGCAAACATGAATAATTATAATGATTCCTCTCATCTCTCAATTCAACTTCTTTAGTAAAAGTTTATGCATCTTTTTCTTTTTATTAGCAAATTAAACTTACAACTTTAACATAACTAGTCTTAACAATTATGGATACTTTCATAGTACAAGACAATAGTTAGATTGTAATGTAATTAGGGTTAGGAAAGAGGAGAAGATTAATACCGTAGATTAACAATAGATACCCTTAAGCTAGAAATACACAAAATAACATTCCTCCTCAAGTTGGTGCATAAATATCTCTCATGCCCTACTTGTAAACGATAGGATGAAAAAGATTGTTACTAAGTCCCTTGTGAAAATATCGGCCTACTGATTTTTTGTTTTCACAAAGGGTATGGCAATCAAACCCTTGTTTAGCTTCTCTTTGATGAAGTGTCAATCAATTTCGACATGTTTAGTTCTATCACGTTGAACCAGATTGTGTGCAATGTTAATAGCCATCTTATTATCACAGTATCGTCTCATAGGCTCATTATCACGAATTTTGAGCTCACCTAGTAAAATTTAGAGTCACATAAGCTAAAAAACACCATGAACCATTACTCTGTATTTAGCTTCTTCACTAGATCTTGTTACCATCGCTTGCTTTTTACTTCGCCATGTAACAATGTTTTCTTTTATCAAGGTGTAATAGCCTAAAGTGGATATTCTGTTGTCCATTGAACTTACCCAATATGCATTGGTGAATGCTTGCAGTTTCAAGTGTCTATTATTAGAGAACAAGATCCATTTTTTGGGAGTAGACTTGAGATACCTCAAATTATGAGAAACAACTTCAAGATGAAGGGTTTGATGATCATGGATGAATTGACTTATAACCTCCACTACATACGCAATATCCGGTCAAGTATGAGAGATATATTAATCTCCTCACCAATCTTTGGTACCTCTGCTTATCCACATGATCATCAACACTACTACTCAGTCGATTGTTGAATTCAATAGGAGAATCTGTAGGTCTTCATCCCAATAGATCTATTTCTTCAAGTAGGTCAAGAATATATTTTCTTTGGGAGATAAAAGTGCCTTTATCTGATTTGGCTTCGTCAATCTTAATAAAATATCTCAATAGACCCAAGTCTTTGATTTCAAACTCCTTAGCTAGCTGAGCTTTCAATTTGACAATTTTATGCACATCATTCCTAGTTATCACTATATTGTCCACATATACAATGAGAACCGTTATCTTGTCATCTACGTGTCTAATAAACATAGTATGATTAGCATGACTCTGTTTATATCTAAATTGCATCATAGTTTTGAGAAATTAATTAAACCAAGCTCTGGATGATTGCTTCAACTTATAAAGTAACTTTTTTAACTCGTACACCTTCCCTTTAGTTACCTGAGATGAAAAATTGGGTGGAATCTCCATATAGACTTCCTCCTCCAAGTCTTTGTGGAGAAATACATTCTCACATCCAACTATTGCATGCACCACCCTAAATTAACTATACAAGAGAGAAAGACGAGCACATATGGAGTTTTACTACTGGGGCAAAAGTCTCTCGATAATCAATGCCATACATCTTAGTGAATCCCTTAGCAACTAGTCTTGCCTTGTATCTCTCAACTATTCCATCAACTTGTTGCTTGGTAGTGAATATCCATTGCACCCAAATGTTCGTGCTCCAACAAGAAGTGCAACTGTGTCATTCTTTTTCAGGTCTCTCATTTTGTTTACCATAGCTTTTCTCCACTTTGGATCAGTGAAAACTTCCTTCCAACCCTAAGCTATAGATATGGAAGACAAGCAGGAAACAAATGTACAATATAATGGGGAAAAAGTGAGAGATGGGGTGTTGAGTACAAACTTGAACACCCTTTTCTCACTATAATAGGAAATATTAGAATCATCAATAGTTGGATTATCAATAACATGAGTGGCAATTGGAAGCTCATTACCTATGAAATCAATAGGAGATGATAGAATTAGAGTGGGGGAATTCAACTGACCCGGTGGCACATGAGTGGTCTGTACCTTTTGACGTCGAGAACAAGTCTTTAGAGTATCAGGTGGATCATTAGTACCAACAACTTGTTGCTCTCCCTCATTAGTATCCCATCAGAGAGGCAATTAAAGAAGAGATTTCTGACATACCTTCTATTGCTCAATAGTGGTATTCTCTCCCTAAATAGATAGCTGGGAAGGAGAAAAAAAGGACTCAAACTCACGAAAGATACCATCTATGCTAATATACA